TGGGGCACGAGTGGGGCTCCAGCTTGCTCAGAAATTAAAACAGATGGCTCACACCATGTTGTTCTTAGGCGAAATATTATATCATGCCTTTAGAAAACTTTGATTAAAGTTAATTGATGCAATGCTGCTTAACCAGCTCAGTGTGTTGTATGGCTTATTTGCTTTTTGTGTTTGTATGCAGTGGTTTAAACGTGCTATTCTGCTGTGGTTTGGAATACAGATCTATAATATGATAACTTGGACAACAGTTTTACTTGTACATCTCGGGCATCACGTAATGGATTCTATTACTAATTACACTTTTGATTTTACCTGGGGAAAGTTTACTTTGCCCTTCAATGCTTACACCAAGTTGACACCATCAGACGTAGGGGATGGAAACCTTTTGGTTGTCTGAAACACTTGTTCATGTTAAATTGCAAAAGCAAGTAAAAATATCACTCAAACTCTTCCCTGCAATTTATTGCAAAATATTACTCAACCTCTCCTGCCTGCAATTTAACAGCAAAACTAATGTACACCTCTGCTTTCTTCCAGAATAGGCCCTGGTTATGGGGAAACTTTCCTTTCTTTCTAGTGTTAAACCTGTTTGCATTTATCTTGGTGTTGCTACCACAGGGGGAGGTAGAGCTGACTGCAAGTGTGAGGAGGCACATCTCCAGTGACAACCACTCATGGCTTGGATGGGCGTATGTTTTGCAGGGTGAAAAACGGGCTGGAAGGCCGGGCCCAAAGAGTGCTGATGAATGGACTTAAATCCGGTTGGCGGCCGGTCATGAGTGGTGTTCCTCAGGGCTCAGTATTGGAATCAGTCCCCTTTAATATCAGATCCCCTTATCAATAAGGGAATCAAGCACACCCTCAGTAAGTTTGCAGACACCACCAAGTTAGGTGAGAGTGTCGACCTGCTTCATGGTAGGAAAGCTCTACAGAGGGATCTGGATAGGCTGGACCAATGGGCAGAGGCCAATGGTATGAGGTTCAACAAAGCCAAGTGCCGGATCCTGCATGTGGGTCACAACAACCGCATGCAGCACTACAGGCTTGGGGAGGACTGGCTCGAAAGCTGCCCAGCAGAAAAAGACCTGGGGGTGTTGGTTGACAGCTGGCTGGATATGAGCCAGTAGTGTGGCCAGGTGGCCAAGAAAGCCAACAACATCCTGGCTTGTATGAGGAATAGTGTGGCCAGTAGGACTGGGGCAGTGATTGACCCTCTCTGCTCGACACTGGTGAGGCCTCACCTTGAATACTGTGTTCAGTTTTGTTCACTACAAGAAAGACATCGAGGTACTGGAGGGTGTCCAGGGAAAGGCAATGAAGCTGGTGAGGGGTCTGGAGCACAAGACTTATGTGTAGTGTCAGAAGGAGCTGGGATTGTTTAGCCTGGAGAAGAGGAGGCTGAGGGGAGACCTTATTGCTCTCTGCAGCTACCTGAAAGGAGGCTGTAGAGAGGTGGGGGTTAACCTCTGCTCACTATTAACAAGTGATAGGACCAGAGGAAATGGCCTCAAGATAATCCAGGCTAGGTTTAGTTTTGATACTAGGAAAAACTTCTTCACTGAAAAGGGTTGTCAAACATTGGAATAGGCTGCCCAGGGAAGTGGTGGAATCACCACCCCTGGAGGTATTTAAAAGACGGTTAGATGTGGTGCTTAAGGACATGGTTTAGTAGTAGTTTTGGCAGTATTAGGTTGATGTATCTTAAAGGTCCCTTCCAACCCAAATGATTCTATGATTCTATGATGGAGTATACCCTCAGCAAGTTTGCTGACGACACCAAGCTGTGTGGTGCGGTTGACATATGGTGGATGGAAGGGATGACATCCAGAGGGACCTGGACAGGCTTAAGAGGTGGGCCTGTGCAAACTTCATGAAGTTCAACAAGGCCAAGTGCAAGGTCCCCTAAGTCCTAAGCACAAATACAGGCTGGGTGGGGAATGGACTGAGAGCAGCCCTGAGGAGAAGGACTTGGGGATACTGGTAGATAAAACTGGGGTGTTCGCTGATGAGAAGCTCAACATGAGCTGGCAATATGCATTCATAGCCCAGAAAGCCAACCACATCCTGGGCTGAATCAAAAGAAGTGTGGCCAGCGGGTCGAGGGAGGTTATTCTGCCCCTCTACTCTGCTCCTGTGAGACATACCTGCAGTACTGCATCCAGCTCTGGGGCCCTCGACATAAGAACTACATGGACCTGTTGGAGTGAGTCCAAAGGAGGGCCACGAAGATGATCAGAGGTCTGGAGCACCTCTTCTATGAAGACAGGCTGAGAGAGTTGGAGTTGCTCTGCCTAGACAAGAGAACATCTCCCTAGACATCTCTGGGGAGATGTTATAGTGGTCTTTCAGTACCTAAAGGGGGCCTACAGGAAAGCTGGGGAGGGACTCTTGATCAGGGAGTGTAGCAGCAGGACAAGAGGTAACTCTTTTAAATGGAAAGAGGTCACATTTAAATTAGTTATTAGGAAGAATAATGTGGTGGTGGTGAGACACTGGAACAGGTTTCCCAGAGAAGCTGTGGCTACCCAATCCCTGGAAGTGTTCAAGGCCAGGTTGGACAGGGTTTTGAGCAACCTGGGCTAGTGGGAGGTGTCCCTGGCCATGGCAGGGGGGGTGGAACTAGATAATCTGTAAGGTACCTTCCAACACAAACCATTCTATGGTTCTGTGGTTCCATATTTGTCCAAAATTGCTAGGTAATAGTGTCAGAAATATCAAATGCAGATATGAAAGCAATAGAATTGGGACCAATGAGAAAAAAAAGGTAATTAGTGGTGGGTTGTTTGTTTGAGAAGAGTTTGGGAAGAAAAAAAAAAAAAAAGGAGGAGCAAAGGTGGCTAAAAGCTGTGTTCAGGAAAAGAAAAGAAAAAAATGGGGTTGCAGTTGTGCCAGCAATTAAAAGGGAAATCATAAGTCCTAAGAACCGCTGTGTCTGGGTTACCAGCAGCTGCAGCGACTGGAGTAAGAGCATACTATGTGAGTGTGTATGTCAATATGTGCAGTCACTAATGAATATCAAGCCAGACTAGCCAGTGTGTAGGATAAGACGACTGGGAGCCTTGAATTGAAGCAGACCTAAGTCTGGGCCAGCTACTGGAGAAATGAGGGAATCTGCAATTTGGCTACTGGGAGGAGCAGGCAGGAGGATCAAACCAAGTGCCAGAGTACAGGTCAGAGTTCTAGTTAGCTACTGGTAAGGCCAGAGGTCTGGACCATGTAGCAGAAAGACCCTTTTGCATTTGAGACAACTGGGAGACCAGGGGATCCAGAGCCAGGTTCTGCATAGACTGGATGTCTAAGGTCAGTTACTGGGAGTGGGGTCACAGAGTGCGTGTGTCTGTGGGTGGGTGGGTGCGTATGTCTGAGAACAAATAACCAGAGTGATACTCCGGGCCTCAGACGTGTGGACAACTATTGAATAGACCTGAGTACCTAGGGCCAGCAACTGGAGGTAGCGTATATATGTGAATATATGCACGTATGTACATGTATTCAGTTAATGGCCTTTCATCTCAATTAGTCAGAGAGGGAAACGATATCAGGTTGTTTGTGCTGTTCATATTTGCATGAGTGCTGTATTCTCTGTTTTTCTTGGTCTGTGTGGTCAACCATGTAGATATTGTATACTGTGTGAGTGCACCTCATAGGAATATATGCTCCGTCACACTACAAGCCCGACCTGGAAACTATAGAAGCCAAGTTAGAATCACAGAATCAGAGAATGATTGAGGTTCAAAAGGACCTCTGGAAGTCATCTGGTCCAACCCCCCACTCAAGCAGGACCACCTAGAGCCAGTTGCCAAGGACCATGTCCAGATGGCTTTTGAGTATCTCCAAGGAGGGAGACTCCACAACCTTTCTGGCCAACCTGTGCCAGTGCTCAGTCACTCTCAGAGTGAAGTGTTTCCTTAACTTCATAGGGAATCTCCTGTGTTTCTGTTTCTGTTTGTGCCCATTGCCTCCTGTCCTGTCGCTGGACACCATTGGAAAGAGCCTGACTCTGTCTTCTTTACACCCTCCCTCCAGGTATTTATGTATTGATAAGGTCCCCTCCAGAGCCTTCTCTTCTTCAGGATGAACAGTCCCGGCACTTTCAGCTTTTCCTTACAGGAGAGATGCTGCAATCCCTTAATCATCTTTGTGTCCCTCTGCTGGACTCTCTCCAGTATGTCCATGTCTCTCTTGTACTGGGGAGTCCAGAACTGGACACAGCTCTCCAGGTGTGGTCTCACCAGGCCTGAGCAGAGGGGAAGGATCCCCTCCCTCTACCTTCTGGCAATGCAGTCCAGGATACCATTTGCCTTCTTCCTTCCTCTTCTCCACCACTTCGGTGCCCTCAGAGGCACCTTCCTCTCTCCTGACAGTCCCTTGCTTGCAGGCTCTTCTCACCCAAAAAGCCCCATCAGCCCAAAAGCTTTTCCCCTTGTGCAGTGAGGTTTTACACATGCTGTTGCAGACAGGCAGTGCTCAGGCCTCACCCCAGGTCCAGCATGTGACAAAGCATCCAACCACTCCCCCATGCCCAGAGCTGTGATTGCTACACCTTTCTTTACAGGACAGGCAGCTTGGGGCGGATTTGGGCTGCATAGAGAAGGAGCCATGCTCTCTGCCCAGAGAGATGCCTTGAGGTTGTCTTTCTGCCCCCATTCTCCTTGTATTGAAGGAGCACCAGGGTAGCTATGAGGAAGAGGCAGTGATGGTATTTTGTGGGGAAGGCTGTGAATGGAGGTGAAAAGTCCCCTGTGTGAGGGGTTTGGGGATTGACCTGCCCATGGGACTTATTCACACATGAAATTTTAATTCTCGGTTCCATTATAAATGTCAAATTTTACTGCAAATTCAGCTGCCCATGGATAGATTTGGAGTTCCAACATCTATTAATCCCAAACCTCACTGATATTTCCCAGGGCAAGTACAGGCAACTGGCATTTGGAGAAAGGGCCCTGTCACCACAGCATTCCTCCCCCTTTTTGTGCCGCCTCTCCCTCCATTGGCGTCACTGTGTGCTGCCTGGCACAGAAATAGGTGGGTGTGTCTAAGTCTGTAAGGGCATGGAGCTGCAGGGAGACCTTGTTTTTGTCTTTGTCTGCAGAGATGGTGACTCGGCCTTGGAAGGGTGGGGCATACCCCGTGTTATTCCCAAAAGGATAGATCCAGGCTAGAAATTGCAGCTGCCCTCCTGGGGCCTGACGGGCACAATTCCAGTCATATCGAGGGCTGTCCAGAGGTGCTCCCATTACAGTACAGGCGAGTGTCAGTGATCCGGGGACCCTTCCCTCCTTTGGACCAGATGCCACCATCTTTATGGAAGAAAGGGTACCTGGAAAGTCACTGGGCAGGTGTGAGATTTATGAGAAAGTTCATGGGTTTGGGTGAGCCCAAGAAGAAGCCCATGAGAATCTGGGTTACTGCTGGTAAACTTGCCATATCTTTAAATATGAATCCAGAAGTTTGGCAGAAGGAGGGCATGGAGTTCCCAGCCCTTCCCAGTCTTCCTGCTCCCTTCACCTGGGAAAGGAGGCATGCCTGGACCCACACCCCCAGGCACAGAGAGTGCAGAGTACAGGCTAGGCATGAACATGTGGGGAACTGGTTTGTCAGTTGCACATGAGCCCCAGAGGGACAAGAAGCATGAGGCTCTTTAATGTCCCTAGGCAATGGCCTGTCCATAGAAAATCTCAAAGCTGCACAGAATGAGACTCTGCACAGCTCCTTTGGGCAGTTATTAGCTTTGTCTAGGAATATCTTCCCCTTACTCCATGCTCAGAAAAATCTCTGAAAACTTCCCTCATCTGCATTGCACCAGCATTCAACCCCACCTGACACTGGAAGATGATTTCCATGCAAGGATTCATCTTATGTCATGGCATTTAGAGTTGGGTAGTAGAAAACTGAGGTGTACAGTGTACAGCCTAAGACTACTCAGTCCCAGTCTTTTTCCCCTTCCCTCACAGCTCTTAGTAGTGCTGTGCAGGACAAGGTCGGGAGCCAAGGACCCATCCTTTATGCGATCACATCCTTCTGTTCTGGGGCAGAGTGAAGAGAAACTAAACACCGAAGGGTGACAGAGATGAGCAAAGCCCAACTTTTGACCCCCAGAAGGGAGAGGCAAGACCTGGATTGGGCAGATGGAGCTAGTGACCCTTCTGGCCCCATCACACACACCCCAGCAGTACTGGGAACACCAGACCAGAGGACAAACCAGCCCCAGCCAATGCATGGGTAGAGGTGGACTAAGCATGCTGGGTTCATCTCTGGTGCTCGTCTGCACCCTTTGTGGGACTATGGTCCAAGTGCACCCTGCAGCTCTGCAGGAGTACAAGTCAGAGCTGTGACTCTCCTGGGCGCTGCTAGGCTCTTCCAGCCCTGGCTCAGCAGAAAGAAAGCCATCCCCTGCTCCACTCCCTCTTTCCTAGCAGTACTCCTCCTCTTCTTCCTCTTGCATCCAGAACAGTGTCTAGCTCTCTTTCAATCCTCTTTCCTGTGGTGCTTCACACTGGCCCTTTTGTAGGGGAGGTCAGTGCCCTGGGGTGGAAACTGGAGGGGCTGGAGGTAGAGGGCAGGCAGGAGCTCACTGGACCTGGTAGTGCCAGGGTGAGCAGGGACCCAGGGAGGATTTTGCCTGGTCCTTGACTGTCTCTTGCAAGCTGTGCTGAGTCACCCTGCTCCTTCTTCTCCAGCTAGAGCTAAGCCCTGAGCCAGCCTGGCTTGTCCCATTCCCACCCACAGCAGGACAGTGCAGGGCTGAGCGATGCTCTGCGGATGTGGAGAGAGGGATTAAAATACCAAGGGAGGACACATTTCATAACTGCCTAGGTGAAGAAGAGGCAGCTTGGGGTCCCATCCCTTCCAGCCCTGGGGCTGGTGAACATCTCTTCTGTGCCTGGCGGTGGGGTACTGAAGGGCTATGTCAGATCTCCAACCTTCTATTGGTCCTCCAACCTCCACACATCCCATGGGAGGGCAGGAAAGGGCAAAGTATTTTTGGAATGATACAGCTCCCTGGCAAAGGGAAACACAAAAACCCCATGTCCGTGTCCTCTTCCCAGGAAAGGGGGGGCTCTCACCTTTAAGAGCTGCAGCAAAGGCGATGACCAGCATCCAGAGGAGCATTGCAGGCTTCCCCAGAGGATTTTGCATCCTGTACCGTGACGTAGGAAAGTAAAATTGTGGGGCTGATAAGGGCTCAGACCTTCCTCTCTTTGAGTCAGCGGACAAATGCCCCATCCTTCCAGAGCTGGAGGTTCAGACTTCCTTGCAACTCCAGGCAGATTTGAAGTCTTTTCGGAGCAACCCCTTTGCAGTTGCAGGTACTTCATGCACTGGGGTGTTGGGTACACTCGTTACTACTGGCCTGGGTGGGGACAGGAAACCACATTCATTTTTTTGTACTGCTCAGCCTGCACAGGAAACACAGGGACCTCTCTTGTCTCCCTAGGGTCCCTCATAACAATATCTCTGAACCTCCTATCAGATGCTGCGGCCCTGTAGATGGCTGTGGTCATGTAGATGTCTGAGAGGGGACAGGCATGGTAATGTGGAGAGGGTCTTCTACCTGGGAGCGATATCCTCCTTCCCTCAGCATGGCCCAAACCATGTTGCCCAACCCCAAGCCAAGGGCCACAGCTGCCAGATCTAGGAGGGAACAGAAGGATTTTCACTTCTGGCTCCTCCATGCCTGTATCGCTGTAAGCTGTGCCTGAAGCACTGAAATAGAGCAGGCAGTGGTCCTGTTACTGTGTGGTAGATGGGGACATCTACCCTGGGCAAAATGGGCCATGTGGCTGTAGGAGAATCCTGTCACCCACCACATATTGTAGGGGCCCACGGGGATGCTCCAGTACCAATGTTGAAAAATGGGAGAGGCTTCAGTGCTGTAAGTCCATCAGAGAGGTCCTCAATCCCTGCTCATTGCCCAGTGCTGCTCAGTGTGCAGGCAGACTCAAATTTCATTTGGAGACAAAGCAGTGCTGTCTCTGCTGCTCCACTCCACCCAGCACAGGGAGGCTGACTGGGGAGTGAGAGGAACAAGGAGAGCTGCTGCAGGTCATTTAAACACCCCCATCTGGGTGTAGATGGGGTGGACCTTGCCTCTGTGCTATGGTGCTGGTGTTCAGGTGTTTGCACAAAGACAATGGACACCTTTGGGAGGCCCTGGGATATCTGCCCCACACCAGCTCCAACAGGGGACAGATTTCCTGGACGTCCCGTGCAGTATTTTCCAGCTACGTGTGTTTGCACTGGGTAACCCAGGCACATGGCATTGCACTAGAGGCCTTTCTTATGCCGTTAAAATGAGAACCCTCTAGGTCCTTGCAGTGCAGGGATGTGTACCTGACTTAGCTTTGTCGTGAACTGAGCTCAAGTGAGTGCAGAGGATGGAGGCAAGAGAGAACAGCAGCAAGAAGAATGACAGCTCCTGTCTGTTTGGAGATCAGAGTCTGTCTTCAGCCTCAGGGCTTCTAACCAGAGATGAGATAGCTCCCGTGGACTCCTCTCCTCTCCTCTCCTCTCCTCTCCTCTCCTCTCCTCTCCTCTCCTCTCC